TGTAGCTGCGGCCTAGGCGGCGCAGGGGGGGCGCGCACCAGGGGGCCCAACAATAATTATTCTTTAGAATAAATAATGTTCAACAACAACAACAATAATCCACATCGCAGAATTCCACTTCAGCCACGCACCCAGGGACAGTGAATGACCGTTCGGTTCAGCCCCCCCACTCGGACATCCACATCCACCGCTTGTGAGGGTCCGCAAAAATTGCTCCCGCAGGCGGCGGTTATGGAGGAATCCCTGGCTCGGACTTTACTAGTCTCGTTCACCGTCGCGGCGCTCTGGCCGGGAGGCGGGGCCACTGGTCGTGGCCCCCCCTCGTTCTGGTCAAGCTCTGAGGAGGGCAGCTGCTGTGCCAGGCGTAGGCTTCGGCTTTCGTCCCGGGGTGGCACGGTTGTCTCTCGCGGGGCCGGCGCGCACATTCAGAACGTCGTCCCTGGAATCCCTCCCCTCCCTCCCTCCTCCCTCCCTCCCTCCCCCTTCCCTCCCCCTTCCCTCCCTCCCTCCATACTCCCTCCCTCCCTCCCTCCTCCCTCCCTCGCCCGTCCCTCCTCCCTTCTCCACTCCCTCCTCCCTCCCTCGCCTCTCCCTCCTCCCTCCCTTCTCCAGGAGGGGCCGAACACACGGCTGGACTCACGCGTGGAACATCCAGAGGCCACACGCCGTGGATCTTCGTAGAAGTCCCGACCCTTTGCCCAGGGCCAGGTTTTCACCGTGGGTCGCCTTTTGACGGTTCCGAGGCCAGGCGAGGGCCCCCAAAGGCCGAACATTGACAAAACGCCGCGTCGTTCCCCAATTAGGCTTGCCTAAGGGGTTCTTGCTCGGTGAAAGGTTGGTGCCTCAGATTCTTACGTTGCCCGCTGCTCGGCGGTTCCCCGGGTTCCTCGGGTTCACCGGGTTTCTCGTCCCGGGTGCCTCGGATTCTTAGGTTGCCCGTCCCTCAGAAGTTTCTTGGGCTCCACAGGTTCTTCGTGTTCCCTATATTCCTCGGGTTAACCGCCCCCAGTTGCCCCAAGCAATGCCAAGCCATGCCAAGCTATGCCAAGCCATGCCAAGCCATGCCAAGCCATGCCAAGCCATGCCAAGCCACGCCAAGCAATGCCAAGCAATGACAAGCAGTGCCCAACAATGCCAAGCGATGCGCCGAGCCATGCGCCCAGCGATGCGCCCATGCAACAGGCTTTCCCCTAAGTGTGGCCGCTCTGGGTTCACATGTGCTTCCTGGCGCGCGCACGGACGAACTAATACCCATCGGTCGGAAGAAGTGAATAAAACAGGGAATGGGAAGGCGTTGGAAGCAGATTGGGTCCCCGCCCGCCCAAAGATGAAGGGAAATGGAAAAACGCTAGTTGATTGAAGTATAAAGGCGCCTAACATTGATTGGGATCTTGGAATCCGAAAATCGGCGGCGAGCGAGGGAGGAGGAAACGAGAAGGACTTCTGAGAAGCCCTCGCACTTTCTGAGATGCTGTCTGCGCCTTCGGGTAAGGCTCAGAAGACTCCTCGGAAGGCTGGGGGACGTCCGAGCCTTCTCACAAGGCCCGCCCCCTCTGCTGGCGGTTTTCGGGTCAGAACTCGGGCCTCTGGCGGCCGTTCGGGACGATCTGGGCGCCCCCGGAACGCCCTCAACGACGCGCAGCCGCTGGAGCGCATCCCGAGGCTGGAAAACCGCCAGAACCGAGGACGACGCCCGAAAACATCGAAACTCGAAGCCGAAACTACCGAAACTCACTTCCTCCCCAGGCTCTCCGCCGAACAAAGAACCCGCGTTCGACGACCGATTCGGGCGAGGCCTAACCGACCCCTAGCAAACCATCCCCTTCGGTGACGTCACCCTCGCCGTTCAAGCTTCCCTCAAGCCGCGTGCATCCGTCTTGGGGCAAGGTGAGGGGGGCGTCACGGGAGGGGATGGCTTGCTAGGGGTCGGTCAGGCCGCCCCCGACCGATGGGCGCGGCGCCCCCGCTCCCCGCCCGCTGGGGCCTCGGGGGCCCGCGCGCCGCGCCGTCCTTCGCGTGTTGCGACAGGGACTTCACGAAGTGCCCGTGGGCCTCGCCCCACCTGGGGGGGAGGGGGAAGAGGAGGAGGAGGAGGAGGACGACGAGGACGGAGAAGGAGCAGGAAGAGATTCAGAGATTCAGATCTATCGCGAAGCGAATCCGATATAAACTAAGACCGAGCCTCCATCTCAGCTTTGCTGAGAACTTTGGGCGTGAGGCCTTTGGCTATTCTGGCAAGGTATGCCTTGCCCGTCTTGGTCGGGGGTTTGCACTCCTTGGCGAGGCCTCTCAGCTGCTGTGAGCCGATACGCCCGCAAAAACCGCAGAACCAGACTTCAAGAGGCTCGTGAAAGCTCATCTGATGAGACGGGTGGACCCACCCCCCAGCGAGATGTAAACGCCGCCCCTGAGGTACCCTAACTGTGTGACTGGTGCACCGAACGGGTTGAAAGCATTCGGACATTTAAAACTCCCCCTTAGTTGCCGCAGTCGTGGACCCATGACACGTCGTGCACTTCACACCACATGGGCTGACAAGATGAGTGGAATTGAAAAGGGCCACAGCGGCAGGAGCGGGGGGAGCAAGTCGGGGAGCACGAGCAGGAGCAGCAGGGGCCCGTTTTTCCAAACGACCCACACGCTCGAGTTCGGCAGCCTCTAAAGCAGCCCGAAGCAAACGGTGGCGGATTCTGCAAGCGTCAGCCTCGATACTCAAAAAACGCGATGCCTCTGAGTCTCAGGGACACGAGCGGCCTTAGCCGCTTCTCCTGCCAGAACGTCGGCGAAGATGCTCCCTTCGATCATCCATCGGGGCACATCTTTGGCAATGATCTCGGAAGCCTCGAGGTGAGACGGGACCCACAGGACAACAACGGAGCCAGGGTCCCGATTCTTGACTAAAAGATCTTTTTTACCAATATCACGCCAGAGGTCTACATTGGCTCCTCGAGGGGCCTGAAAGAGACGGTCCCACCACCCTGCACAGACGGCGTCGTTGTCCGTCACGTAGACAAGGGGGCCGTCCGAGAACCTAAGAGCGGTGAGCAACATGTAGAGTTCCCCCCCCTAGCGACCGTTCGTAAGGGGCCAGGGAGGGGACCGACAAGATACCGAGCACCATCATTGGAGCGCCACTGAGAGGAATCGACAACCGCAACCCCAACCCGTCGAAGACGAGGGTCGCGGGTGTCGGGGCCTCCTGAGGCGCCCCCATGCAAGACAACAGGATTATCTAGGGTGTCATTGCCGAAATACAGAGGGTCGATCTCCCTCGCTTCGGGAGGGGCCGACCAGGATTCCACGGGGGTGGGGGGGTCTACTTTGGTCCAGGAGGCTGGGATTAACCCCCTAAACCAAAAACATTCATCACTGGCAGACTGAACTATAGCCTTATGACACAACTGGTTAGAGTGCGCATATGCGGCAGAAGCTGCATCCGAATTGCACTCACAAGTGTAAGACCTATGCAAAGGTGTCTCCTTATCTTTTTTTGCAGCGTGGGCAGATGTCGGACTCGGCGTAGCCCCCATCCTTCCTCCGCTCGGCAGTCCAAGCGCCTCCCACTGCAATAACCAGCATGAGCTCCGCGAGGCGTCTGCCGTGCGGGAGCTGCTCCAGCTGGTAGAGGAAGCGACGGTAGCTGAAGTTGTCGACTCCTCCCTCCATGCCTGCACAACAGTATACGTGCGAAGCAGTGCCCCGCTGCCGTAACTGAACTGAGTGTGTGAGTTCGTCCAAGAGGCAGGTGGCCTGGTCGATCCATTCGAGGCCGTCTGGAAACGACCACCCGTGGGCGATGCCATCTTCCCCTGTAGGACTGTGCCATTCCGTCGGAGATACTGGATCCCAGTTGGTTTGAAGAAGGTAGTGGATGGCAGCTGTCATAGGACCCCTAACATGTCGAGCTCGATGTTGTGGGTCTATCTTACGTAGCTGGGCAACCGTCTCCTGCCAAACTCGATGAACTGGGCCGCGAACACGGGGTTCGGCAAGCCAAACCTTCAACCACATACCGATGCACTTCCTCATCAACTGATAGCCAAGATCGTGCCCTGGTGTGCGAAGGTCCAAAAGAGTGGTGATGCACCTCCCGTGTCGGTGACCACCTGCCACAGCGCCTAGGCGCCGTCGCAATGCCTGGATGGATGTCTGAGGCAGGCCGTGAACTTCGTGGCCATAGGTGGCCCCTGCTTGGGGACCAGCTCTCTCGACCTTCTGCAAGATCTTGAACCTCCGAGTGGAAGCTGCGAACTTGCGTACCTTGCCATGTTGCCTGCGTGTCTGCTCCATCCTCTTAGTCCGAGTAGCTCGAGCTAATCTGCGTCCGCTGCCTAAGTCGACTCCGAGGTACGGGGCCTGCTTGGTGATCTGGACCGTTATGCCTCGGCGGCGAAGGCGACGGACCACCTCACGAGCAGTCTTCAGATCCGAACCTGCGACGACGCCCTTGGGGGCCAACTCCAAAGACTCCTCGATCAGAGCGTCGCTCACTGCGTTGATACCGTTGACCAGAGCATCCTCGACAGCAAGAGGAGAACCAACTGCAGACAAGGAGAGGTCGTCAATCCATAGCCGTTCTGAGAGGTACGGGTTGGCTGTGGTGACTACCTCCATGACTCTGTTGGTCATGCAGCGGGCAAAGCGTGTCCCGCTCCGGAGGCCCTGGATGATGGACCGCGTGGCTTGAAAGGGTCGAGATGTCGCGTCGAACTGAGCGAGCAGCCGTGGGCCCGTGCAGACCTGCAGCTCGAGGGAGGGGACGCGCGCTGGGAAGCCGTACTTGAGGGCCCCACTCACAAGGATATCCCATTCCATCATATCATAGAAACCCTTGATGTCACAAAGAGCGCGGCCGTTGGCCATCTGGAGGCGCCAGAAGAGTTCTTCATCTAGCGCTCGCATGAATGCTTCTTTGAGGGCTGAGTTGCCCTCGATGGCCGCGTCCCAAGAGGGGCATGTGCCCCTGCCCTAGCTCTTGACAACGGGCTCTCGCACAAGGGACCATGCACGGCATGGGCGACACACTAGCCCTATCATCCTGTCGCCTGAGCTCTTTTTAGGGAGGAGGCGACCGAGGACAGGGAGCAGCTGCCATGGCCATGTGCAAGATTCCTCAATCATGACAAAGAGAGAGGCGAGGGCGGCGAGCGCGGCATCAGGCAGGCGGTCCAAACCTGTCGGAGACAGCCTGTCGAGCCCCTGACCAGCACGAGGTTTCATGCGTCTGAGGGCCCCCCTGATGTCGCTCGTCGTGATCTCGGGGAGGTCGCCTGGGAAGGTGGCCTCCTTGATTCTCCTGAAAGTGGCTGAAACTGTATCCATTGAAACATCTTGAGACGATGTCCAGAGCTTGTGCCAATGCTGCGCATTCTTGTCGATTGCCCCATCGGCTGATATATCATTCCATCTGTCGAATCGAGCTCGAGGGTCGGCAGAGGGGCATCTTTGGTAGCCTTGAAAAGGGCCCCAGTGCCGTCGTGGTCGGAAACCCATTGCTTGAAATCTGCCAAAGAAGATGCCACTGCCCTGGATTGTGCCCGATTCATGATCTTGAACAACTCTGCCTCGTACGCGTCAAGCTGCTCTTGAGAAATGCTCCCAAGGTCGTTGAAAACCGACTGCCATGTGGTCCAGGGAGTGGCCGTCGGTTGCTTGCCGATGCTGGAAGCCGTACTCGCTGGGGCCTGGCCTATGAGCTTGATCCCGCACTCGACGAGGGTCTTGACCTGGGCGATGCCGTTGGCGCGACGTCGATGCCGAGTCGTCTTGGCGAGGATAGTGCGGGCCCTGGCCCACCGCGGGGCCACCGCGTCGAGGTACGGCATGTCGCGAAGATGTTCTGACTGTCGGGCTCGACGCACCACCAGCTTGGGACCTGAGGCCCTGGAGACAGCCGAGCCCTTGCTGTCCTGCTGGCGATGAGCTCGAAATGTGTGCTCCACAGCGGAGACCCATGAGCTGAAAGCACTGCTGACCTGCATCGTATATTTGCCGCCCACATGGAAGGCAACTGAATCGCGAACTGGCGACCCAACGTCGGAGAGTGTTTGGGGCTGAAAGCCGACTTCAGTTTGAGCCAAGTGCCACGGGGCAGCGGGAATGGAGAACGAAGCAGGAGCAGTAGCATCAGCAGCGGAGCTGGGATCGGGGCTAGGGTCCTGGGGCGTCTCGCTGGGGGGGGGGCCTTCATATCATTCTCTGCCGCGTCCATCCCCGGTGGGGCAGGGTCGGTCAACGAATTCACATCGGGCAAGACCTCAGATGAAGACGGGTCCCCAGACGGAGGAGGAGGGGTGGGAGAGGACTCCACGAAATTGGGAAGGTCGGCCCAGGGATCGATTTCATCATCCCAGAGACAGAAATGACAACCAGAAAAAAACTTCAGGACCCTGGAGGAGGTCTTGACCTGGCACAGCTGCATCATTGGGCCTGGCTGGGTCAGCTCCTTCCTCCTGGACTGCATCAGTCGACTTGTAAAGAAGATCCCCGTGCAATTCCTGAGCAAAAGCGGCATGTTTATCGCGGGCGATAGCCTGGCGTTCGACCAGAGCAGCAGGCGCGCGAGGCCTTGGAACCAGGCTGGCTCTCCGCCTTCGGCCGCTGGACCTGAGGGAAACGCTCGGGGAGGAGGAGGGCGCGAGTGAGGAGCTGTGCACCTTGCCCTCTCAATTGGAGAAACAATGCCGAATGGGGCTTCCACGGGACATCGTGGACCACATGTAGGCCTAAGATGTACGGGAGAGCAGATTGGGACGCTACGGCATAATCAATCAGGCTGGACCCGCCAGCGCCTATACACGTGAAATCTGGAGGTGGTTTGATGACGGTCCCCCCGACCTTAGCGAGGAAACCACTGGCCTCCAGGACCGAAGGGGGAAAGTTCAAACCCCCGAGAATGTTCCAAGGAATCTTGAGCATCTGAGGGCTCCGACTCGGGCAAACCTACGTAAATTGTCGCCTGCGAAGCCTGTGGAACAGAGCCCGTGCAGGGTGATAAGAACTATGCTGAAACCCTGGAGGTTGAGGATGACAGGGAGGAAGCCGTCATAGCTCTGAGAGCCGTCGGCGCAAAGAGGAGGGATGGGATACCGGGCTCGGGAGAGATGATGAACCTGCCGATGCCCCTCGCACAGGAAGATCTCACCACCCTCGTTGGCACGCTGTTTACCTGGCGCTGTTAAGCAATGCCTGCCCGTCTCACGAGCACAGTTGATGAAAGACTTGAACTTATTCGAGCGAAATCGCTTCCCCCATTCGAGGCGTGAGCCCCTGCCAACATGGGCCTCGCACAGAGAGGAATACTGATGCGCTCCGCTTTGCTTCAGATGCTGACTATACGTCCAACTCCGAGGCCCTAGGATCGTGATGTTACTGAAAAAAAACTTGTACGACCGAACTCTCCCCTGCTGAAGGTTGGTCGCTTGCCTGAGAGAATGCCGACTGCCGCTTCGCAGTCGCCTGGCCATCAGAGCGCGCGGTGCCTGCGGCCTCGCTCCCGCTTGCAGCCGATGCTGCCGACGGTGGTGAAGGTGCCGAAGATGAGGATGCTGATGCCGTCCGCCCTGAAGCCGAACTTGTAGAAGAAGATGTGGGCTGCGACGCAGTCCCTGTTGACCCACTGGTAGGTGCTGACGAGCAGGTGGTCGACTGCACGTCAGGGCTGCCCCCGCCACTGGGGGACGGCCGCTGTCGCGCTGACGCCGCCGTCGAGGCCGCTGGTGCTCCACCCTCGGGCGAAGCTACCGAAGCCAGCGCAGCCTTGGTCGCCTCCTCGGCGGCCTTCTGCTTGGCGGCCCTGATGCGGTTGATCTCCTTCTGGATCTCCGCCTCCTGAGCCTCCGTCTTGTCCGTCTGGTCGCCGCTGCTGTCGGCGCAGGGTGCGCCAGCAGCGGCATTGCCCGAAGGAGCCGTGGGCGAGGGCGGGGCCGCTGGCCCTGTCGGGACGCCCTGGCCCTCCTGGCCTTTCCTCTTCTTGGCCATGCGCGCGCGGATGCCGTTCTGCATGTCAAGCATCTTGGCCCTCCATGCCGTGACCTGCTCGCTGCGCGTCTGGAGGAGGCCCTTGGTGTCCTGGAGCTCCGCCTGGAGCCGCTTGAGCTCGACCCTCTCGCTCTCCTCGCATTCGAACTCGCCCGCATCCAGCTGGTCGAAGAACTCCTGGTCCCAGCTGATGGTGAACATCTTCGACTCGCCGCCGTCGGTGTTCCCATCCTTCTGCGGGGACTCCGACAGCTTCGTGAAGCCCAGGCCTACCTCGGATGCCAGGGCCCGCGCCGCAACTCTCTTGCCCAGCTCGGCGGCGGCCAGCTGCCGAACAGTCTCCTGCTCGCGCTGCAAAGCCCTCTCGAGCTGTTCCCTGCTGCGGGCGACCTGAGCACACGCCTGGTCGTGCTTGGTGTTGGCGTCGCGCCATGCCCCTTCCGCGCGCCTGACCGCCTCGGCTGGGGACGGCTGGTCGGCCGCGGAAGGGGCCTGCTGCTGCCGCAGGGCGGCAGTGAGCGTAGCCTTCAGCACGGGGTCCTGCACCAGGGAGATGGCCTGGGTGAGCACCTGCGTCTGTGATGCCTTGGACGGCAGCAGGGCGAGCGCCAGATGATCGTTGAAACCCTCCTTGGCCTTGCCCTTGCCGCCCTTGCCTTTGCCGCCAGCACCAGCACCACCGTCGCTCTTGGGCTTGTGCAACTTCACCTGGCGGTTGCACTTGCCGCAGCGAAATGCATTGCACTCAAGCACATCGTTCTATTCGTGGGTGTGGCATTCTTTGCAGGTGCTCCATGGCCGAGACATGATCCGTAGCTGAATCTCTGCCCAGATTCGCCGCGAGGAGCGCCTTTGCACTCGGCAAAGGTGGCCTCGCGCCCCCCAAGCACCCACTGGACGGTTCTGGGCTCTCGGTCGGGCAAAATGCTTGAGCCAAAATGGCTACGGTGAAGGAGCAGGAAGAGGAGGAGGAGGAGCATGAGAAGGAGGAGGAGAGGGAGGAGGAGGACGAGGACGAGGAGGACGAGGAAGAGGGCGAGGAAGAAGAGGAAGAGGAGCAGGAGGAGGAGGAAGAGCAAGAGAAGGGGGAGGAGGAGGAGAAGGAGGAGGAGCAGGACCCCCAGATGGGGATGTAGGCCGTCCCCCTCGGGCTTCGAGGGGTGTATCCCCGACCAGGGTGGTGGGATGGTCGGGTCTGGATGGAGAGTGGGATGGGGTTAGGAGTCGATTAAACACATGAGATGAGATGCCCAGGGCGAGGTGCCCCCAGGAGGCGTCGAGGGAGGCGGGGCTGCACGCGGCTCGAACAGCTGGCCGGGGTGGGCCCCTCCCCGAGATTCTGGCGTCGCAATGCTTTCACAACGTGCGTCTTCGCCCCGACTCGGCCCCAGGACCATCACGGATCGGTCAGGCCCAAAGTGCAGCAAAACGATGGGGTCCAGAGCTCCCGTCGTGTTTTCGTCCGCGATGTCGCAAGTCCGTCGCAGCGTCGGATCTCAGGGACTGTAAGGCGAAGCCAAGACCAAAACACCATCGGACTGGGACACATCGGGGATCTCTGAGATCTGGCGAGTCTGGAGGATGCATCGGGCGCCGCGGCAGCCCAGAGCCCGCCAGGACGCTCCGAGTGTTCGGGAACGCACGATGAATCTCGGTCCTGGGCACGACCGGAACTACTTTGAGGGGCCCAGGGGCCAGTTCTGAGCGGATTTTGTGGACGAGGATGGCCACGAGGCCGTATTTTCATGTCATGTTCAAGCAGAATATCCTGGAGTCCCCGTCGCAATTGGTGGCCCAGCCTCACGCATGAGCTTGCCCGGAGGGAGCATGCACGGACAACCCCAAAAGAGCGCCCACGTGCACGAAAGCGCTGAAAGGGCTGACACAAAACTTGGCTGGGGCTTGAATTCACCTCCCCCACCCAGTACCCACCGCCAACAAAATCACCACGCAACCTTGTCTGGATCTGGGGGCTGCAGTGACCGAAACCGTGTCCGAACATCTGCCCGAGTGTGACCGAAACCCGTTTGCCGAACGCGTCAGAATTGAGTATCGTTTAACCGATCCCCATCCCCAGCGGCGTGGCCTGGGCCCCACTGGCCGATTTACCCCCCCAGATGGGAATATAGGTCGTTCTCTTCTGGTTTCGAGGGGTGTATCCCCAAATGGGGGGGGTAGTTTGGGTGGGGTCTCGAAGGGGATGGGAATGGGGATGGGGATCGGTTAAACGATACCGAAGAGTGTGACAGATCTGTTGGCTCGGAAACAAAACGATCCCCCAAACAGAGCTTACAGACATGGCCCAGTGCGGCCCCGGCGGCCCCGATACCGTCCGTGGCCGCACAATCCTTCCTAACAAAAGGCCCGTGGGAGGCCCCGGCGGCCCCGTTGCCGCCCGTCGCTGCTGCGTTGCAGTGCTTTGCATAGTTATGCATTGCTCGGCATTGCTCTGCATTGCTTTGCATCGTAATGCGTTGCTTACACTGCTTTGCAAGTCTCTGCACTGTTTTGCATTCTGTTTTGCATTGCTTGACATTGCTTTGCATTGTGTTGCATTGCTTAGAACTGGTTTGAAGTGGTGTGTGCTCCGATGCATTGATTAGCATTGCTTTGCATTTGCATTGCGTTGCATTGCTGTGAATTCTTTTGTACTGCTTTGCATTGCACTGCTTGGAATTGCTTTGCGGTGCTTGCAATTGTTTTGGATTGATGTGCGGTGCGTTGCATTGCGCTGCATTGTCTCGAATTGTTTTGCATTGCTTCGCGCTGATTTGCATGATCTTGCATTGCTTGGCATTTATTTGCGATGCTTTGCATTGCATTGCACCGCAAAGACTAGACTGCATCGCATAGATTCCAAGAGCATCACTGTTTAGGGTCCACGCTGGCTAGCGTCATGAATTTCGGTCACAAAATTCGGGTCACGCTCCGTTGTCGGTCTGAATTTCGGGCACGTTTTCAGTCACCAAATTCTTGTTCGGTTACATGCGCTTTCGGCTATATAGGCTGGGCGCCATGAAAATCACTGGACTGATGGGCTCGGATTCGCTGACAGAATACGAGTGCGTCTGAGAGTCTGCGGGCCTTAGAACCGTGAATCTGAATATGAGTGATCACTGAGACCGGAAGATCGCGCAGTGTCGCTCATTCATCGGCGATGCATCGGCGACTTCGGCGATGCATCGTCGACGTCGGCTTGGGAAAAAGGCGGGATCCACCTAAAAACGCAACGCCGATGCATCAGCGATGCGGCGCGATCCTCCGACCCCATCGGCTCGGACTCAATTTGGGAGTTCTGGGTTTTTCCATGTCCCAGGTTGTTGCATCCTTCGACGCTGGACCAGCCGTCAAAAAAAAAACACCAACCCGCCACAGCAACAGCAGGCGGGCAGCCAGAGGTGGGGTGCCGCGCGGGGAAGCCGAGCCTGGGCACCGGGCGGTGCGGCCGCCCTCCGTCTGCTGCAGGGCCTCCGAAACGGGTTCCGAGCAGACGGGGTTCCGAGCAAATGGCGCCCCATCGCCGATTCATCGGCGGCGCATCGGCGTGGAAGACAATGCCGGGCGCACCATCGAGCCGCATGCTCCGACGCGACGGCGGGGGCGGCGGGTCCCCCCGACCCCGTCTCCCTGGGCCCCGCCCGGGAGGCCTGGATAGAACTCTTGTGAGACGATCCTCAAGAAACGCGTCTCGCTAACGTGTGTTTGCCCACCGAAGCCCTGAATACAATGTGGAATCGGGTGCACGATGGGATTCGACTGGTCGTAGCCAGGGCTGACGGGACGGCGCGCTGCAGAACCCACCGGGTTTACTATGGCTCTCCCCTTGCCCCTTCCCTTCTCCATTCCCCCTCTTCCCCCCAAGCGCCCCCCTCCCCACCAGTGGGACACGAACCACTTGGGCGTCTGCCGCCCCGTGGCCACCGCTTCCACGTAGCTCACCTCTGGCCGCCCCGCTGGGCTGCCGCGCGAGGGAGGGGACAAAGCGACACCGACGAGGGGCACCGGTGAAGGCCGAAACCCACTACTCACAGAGTGAAACCGCACGAACCAAATGGATGGAATCAGCGGGGGCGTAGGGAGAGAACAAAACATGTCCGGGGGCGTGTCCGACCATGTTTTCGGAACGATTCCAACCCTGGCGGGGACGGAAGTACAGCAATTTCCGTGCCCTCTCTTCGTATGGCGCTCCGAAGATTCTTCTCCGCGCTGTCTTGCGCGGGCATTGCGCGGGCCCTAAACGTCCGCATGCGCGTCGCCTGGTCCGCAGCCGGCCCTCAGGAGCCCAGACCCAGGTCGGGGCTCACGAGGTCATCCGGAGTTGCGACACTGGACAACATCGCATACGCACGATGCACCCAGAGCCCGTCCATGTCTACGGCGACCTTGTGGCCAGCGTCAGTGACGACCCCCTTGGGCATGGTCTGGCCCTGGCAGACCGTTCATGTGAGGATCTTAGCGTGGGAGATGGCGGGGCCCGTGCGCACAACCTTGTGCCTTTGAAAACTAAGCGAGGTGGACATTTGCGGCTCGATGACCTGCCGCTCGATGACGCCCTCCTTCGTCCCTGTTCCTCCCTTTTGCGTTCGGCGTTCGAGGCGGGAAGGGGCGCAGCAAGGTGGCGACAGTTGAAAGTTAGTTCAGGTCCCTGCAGGACACCACTCCGCCGAACCCACCATCGGGCGCGGCAAAATGGCGAAGGACATGCGCTTGGCAACACACACGGGGGGCGAGGTCCATCGTGGGTCCCCGTAGGACGCCCCGCATATTGAACCTCCAGGTCAACAAGGCCTAGCGCAGGTACCCGTTAGACGCTACTCCTCTGGACGCCCCCCTCGACCGCGGAATAATGGCGACAGTTGCATACCGGCAACACCCAGGGGAGGGCAAGGTCTAGCGTGGATCCCCGTAGGACACCACTCCGCCAGAAACCCCCAGAGGCGGCAGGCGCACGCCTGGCAGCATCCAGGGAGTGCAAAGTCTAGCGTAGGTTCTCGCAGGGCAAGACCCCACTAGGCGCAGCAATGTGGCGACACTTGCACGACTGGCAATTTAGCCACATCCAAGCCCCTGAGAAAGAAAAAGAAGATGGCCACTCGACGGCCGATCGAGGTCACCACACTGACGGCCAACACTGGAGAGTCAGTCGGCCTCTTCAGAGCATTGGAGGAGATCCAGTCTACCAAGCCAGACTTCGCCTGGCCCTACAAACTGGGAGGTATGGGTACGCTGCCTACCCGACGGAGGCCTACAACTTCACTGCCAGGTGGGGCAACAAGCAGTACCAAGGAGGCACCGCCATCCTCGTCAAGAATCGGGGAGATGTAAGACTCGGGTTCGGGGGACTCGAATTGGCCTGACGGGGCCATCATGGAAATGACGAGGCCCAATCTGAAAATGGACGCGAACTCCTGCTGCAAACATGCCACGGAAACTGGACCGTCAAAATCCAGGCCGCGCTCGTCAAAAGACGTTGGCAAACCCGAGTTCCGGCGTACTCGAGTCTTACGTTTCCCCGCATGAAGGCGCTCAACCACCAGTCAGGGCGGCGCCTCCGCCTCCCGAAGGCCACGGCCCAGACCGACTGGGTGTGTGCCAACGTCGACCCCAGCAAGCCCATCACCGTGGAAGCTGCGGACAGTAACCCGCTAGCTGGCCCCACAGGCCCCGTGGAGCAGACCAGACAGCACCTCGACAGAAGTCCAGTGTGTAATGCTGTAGAAGCCGAGGCGGTGGCCAAATGGGCAGGTCGACTCGACGCCCTGGACAACACGCTGGCTGGCGACAGCATCAGGCCGAACGAAGAGATGCAGGCCTGGAGCCATATCCTCAAAGACATCTATCGCGATGCCTACGGCATGCTTCTTAAGCAGGCCGTGGAGGCCGAGGAGCAGAATAACGTGCTCCTGAAACAGCTCCAGGCCAACCTCGGGGCCAAACTGGGCAAAAGAGATACGGCCGTATTCCGCACCGTAAATGTCAGAGGCAGACTGACAGCACCTGCTGGCGGGCCAAGCGACAACGCTGGCGGGCCCCTTGCCCACCAGCTGCTACAGCTTCTGGCCCAGGGGCGCCCAGTGCCAAAGAAGTTGCGCCACAGGGTCCGACGGCCGCTTCACCGCGGCACGCTCGGCATGGGCCTCAACGACGCCGTGCGCAGCACCATCGAGATGACCAAGCGCGACATGGTCACAGACAAGGCGAAGCACAAGACGGCAAACATCGCAGCATGGCGAGACACGATGAGACAGGGGCTGCCCCAAGTGGCCGCCTGGGCGAAATCCTAGGCGCAGATCTCCACGCTGGCGGTCACCTCCAATGAGGTCACTGCGGCCTCCAGGCGGCAGGCCTGCCAATGGATCTCCGACTTCTGGCGCAAGGCCTGGAGCAGAGGGCTCTTGGCCCCAGAGGAGGCAACCAAACGACCAGCCTTCATCATAGAGTACATGCCGCGGCCCTTCGTGCGCTGGACGCGCCCACAGGAAACGCACATGGTGGAGGCCTTCCGCAAGGCCAAGGGAACAGCCAGCCAAGACGGCTGGACCGGAGCAGAGCTCAAGCCCGCCCTGGACGGAGTGCTCAAGCGCTTCACCGCTCTCGCGGCGCGCTGGGATAAGGCCGGCCGTGTGCCCAGGGCTGTCAAGCAGGCTCGCCAGGTTAACCTTCCGAAGTCCATGAAGCTAAAAGGATGGAAGACGAAGGAGGGCGATACTAGACCTATCAGCGTTTTCAACACGCTGTGGAAGATCTACACCGCCTCCTGGATGGGCACGACGTGCTGGAAGGACTGGACGCAGCAGGCGTTCCCCCGAGACGGCGACGCGATCGGGGCAAAGACTCGGTGGGCGCCGAGGAGGCAGCGGTGGACCTTCACCGCGGTATGGTCATGAAAGGCTTCGGCGCCACAGTCGACTACACTGGGCTGTCCCAGCGGCCACTGCGCCACCCTTGGAGACGTGTGGCAGCACCTGGACCAGGAGCGGCATCTCTCCTGGGGCCAATGCATGTACGAGACCCCGCTGCTGGCCAACTGCCAGCCGCAGGGCGACCCAGTAAGCCCTTTCGCGCTGGGGCTCTGGATGATCTCGGCTTCGGCCCACGTGCACTCCCGCCTGGAGCCGCCCGAAGCAGCGGCGGCCGGTAGGAGGAACATGAGGAGGAGGTAACCACCCTACCGAAGAGGCCAACCCCTACATGGACGACAGGAGCTGGGCGGACACCGACCCGCGACGGCTGCTCCACGCCGTGGAACTCCGGCACGAATGGTCCATGCTAAGTGGGGCTCAAAGAGAAGGAGGAGAAAAAACAGCTGGCGGCCTTCGGCGCGGCCCACTGGCAGCTTCTCGAAGAGGCCGCGGCCGAGGCAGGCATGGCGGACAAGCTCGTCGACGGCATCGAGATCCTCGATGTGTGCTCCAAGAAGCCACGGCCCAAGGACGCGGGCCGCCTCGAGGCAGCCGCAGCCACGGCGCAGCTTCTCATGGCCGTGCCAGGCGACCGCGGTACCAAGCTGGCGTACGTCCGCAGCCTGACAACGGTCCAGGGCGTCTACGGCTGGAGCGGCAAGAGGCCCACGGACACGGCTGTGGCTGCCGCGCAAAAGGCGGCCACGAAGGTCACCAAGACCTCACGGTGCACCAACAAGCACTTGGCCCGCATCATGGAGGGCGGGACGCTGGACATCAAGTGCGTCATGATCCAGCGCCAACTGGCCCTGGCACTCCGCAGGTGGAACAGCCGGCCCCTCGGGCCCCAGGATCCGCAGCTCGCAGCGCTGGACACCTCGCTTAAGCTGCTTGACGTCGGCCCAGGGATCTGCAGGCACCAACACTCCGACCTGGACGCAGATCTGGAGGGCACGTCCGGCTGGCCCAGCACAGCGCCGCCGACGGAGAGGAGTAGGGCCATGGGGTACCTCGAGGGAGAATAGAGGAAGCCGCAGGCCGCGGCTGCCTTGGCCGCGCAATGCCGCCAGCTGCCGCGCAAGGCTCGCGAGGCTTGGCGCCAGAAGGAATGGGCCGCCTTCAAGCAGCAGAGCGGGACCATCGCGAGGCCCGCCCCCGATGAGTACCCTGCCAGGCAAGCAGCCCTGGAGAGAAAGAAGCTCGCTGAAACTGGAGAGCTGCGCTGCCCGATGCGCGGCGGGGTCAGGTCCCAGGGCACCTTCGCAGGCAAGCAGGACGACTGGTCCTGGCGCTGCTGGTGCAGACACGTGGGCTATACTGGGTCCACACATTCTGGCCCAGTGCGCTGGAACGCCAGCCAACCGCGATGCAGGAGCGCTGCGCCTGGTCCGACCCCAACCTTACGGCCGCCAACCATGTGGAGACTCGCGAGCGGATGAACATGACTGCCAAGGAGATCTAAGGCCGCGGGGCTTGGACACCAAGGAGTGGTGGAGGAGGCACTCGGAGGCCGAGAGCGGCAGCAGCTGCCAACCGGACGCCGACGACGAGACGGCCCGAGCCGAGCAGGACGGCGACGACGAGGGCGCCCCAGGGATAGAAACCGAGGAGGACGACGACGACGAGGCCCAAGCCGAGTAGTGTACCGCCAGCCCAGACGCTGCTGGCGCGCGCCCCCCGCGGCGCCCCAGGGAGGAACAGGGCGACGCAGCCCCCGCAGTCAAACGACGGCGACGACCGGAGCCAGCGCAGCCGCCACGGCCAGCCGGCCGACGCGCCGCCGCAGGCAACCCCGCGGGCCCGCCCGGGCCCGAAAGGACGAAGCACGCGACCGCCACCCACGGCCAGGCGACGCCGCAGACGGGCCTGGGGCACAGCTCCGCCCCCGCCCGCGGGCGTCAGCAACGAGGCGGCCCCCGAGGCTGCAGGAGGAGGCGGACGAGGTGGAGCAGGAGGCACGCCCCAGCCCCCAATGGAGACGGCCAACTCAGGAGGAGGAGGCCCATTGAAGGCTCCCGGGCGCCCAGGCGGCGCTTGGAAGTGGCACAGCCTAATCCTGACCCAGGAGGCTGGAGCCTGACAACATGCCTGTGGACGAATGGGCCGCCAACATCCGCAAAAGAACGTGACAACAATTGAGCAACGGCCGCATTCCTAGAAGCACGCACGGGAGGATGAGGTTCTCCGTTACACGCCACTTCGGTGGACCCCACCCAGAGGCGAAGCGAAGTGCGAAGTGGCGATAGTTTCACGCCCGCACCCGAACGAGGGCGAGGTCTTGAGCTGCCACTGGACACCACTCCGCTGAACCCCCCCAGAGATGGAGCACAGTGTCGACAGCTGCACGCCCGGCAAGTGAGTCGAAGGGGGAGAAGGAGGGAAGAGGAGGGACGAGGAAGGAGCAGCAGTACTCTACACTCAGAGCGAGGACGATGTTTAGGACTGACGATAGGTTCATAGCAGAACGTAATGTCACCTTCGAAGTCGCATTTGACATGCATTGAAGGCGCCATGACTTGACAAACTGAAGGACTGCACACCGCACTGAGACGATCGCGCATAATGGAACAGGAAGAGGAGAAGGCAGAGACGGAGAAGGACATGACAATCGCTGGCTG